GGAAGGAAAGTCAATGGACGGGGCGCAGCAGCATTTAAGAAATTACATCCAAGTGACTGGAGAGGAGAACATCACTGTGCATTTGAAGAACTAAAGAATGCGCTGCTGGAGACTGTGGTGCTCGCACATCCTGATTTCAGTCGCCCTTTCATTCTGTCTACAGATGCCTCACAGGATGGGTTGGGGGCGGTTTTGTCACAGGTCCAAGAAGGTGAGAGTAGAGCACGACCCATTGCCTTCGCCAGTAAAGCTCTAACACGCGCCCAGAGTAACTACCCTGCTCATCGCCTTGAGTTTCTGGCGTTGAAGTGGGCTGTTTGTCATAAATTCAGTCACTGGCTAAAAGGGCATACTTTCACCGTCTGGACTGACAATAATCCCCTGACATACATCCTCACAAAACCCAAACTTGATGCATGTGAGCAACGATGGGTTGCCAAGTTAGCACCATACAACTTCAGCATCAAGTATATACCTGGCAGTAAGAACATCGTTGCTGATGCTCTCAGCAGGAAGCCTTTTGTGCAGGGTCGTGTCTGTCAGCGGATTTTGAATGAGCCATATGGGGACCTCATGGGGGAGTCCCAAGAAGTTCAAGAAACTTTAATTCAGGATACCTTCAGGATTGGGGTCAACCACCAGAACATTCTTCATACAGTCCCATTGAGTGAGCTGAAAAATCAGTCCCTATCTGATTGTGAAGTATCTGCAGTGTTGGTTGGTCATATGGAGTGGGATGAAGGTTCCAAGCAGAGAGTGGTTTCATGGCTAGCCCAGGATCTGGAGAAGTTGGCCCAACCAGGTGAAACCCCCCTACCTGTTTTTTCACTTCAAGAGCTTCATGATAGTCAGAGGAATGACCCTGTCCTGTCTCATGTCATCCCATTTGTCATTCGAGGGAGACGGCCATCAAGACGAGAGAGAGCTGGGTTACCTCTGAAAGTGCTCAAAATCCTAAAACAGTGGGATAAATTGAAGATGTATGATGACATCCTGTACAGAGTTTGCAAAGACCACTTGACAGGGAAGAAGCGACATCAGTACATGACGCCCTCCTGTTTGATCAGCCAAGTCCTCAGTGGTGTGCATGATAATGCTGGCCACCAGGGTCAGAGTAGAACTTTATGCCTCTCAAGACAAAGGTTCTTCTGGATCGAAATGGAACGAGACGTCAGAGACTATGTAAGATGTTGTAAGCGTTGTGTTGTTAGTAAGACATTGGAGCCTGAAGGAAGAGCACAGCTCGAAAGCATCAAGACCACAGGCCCATTGGAGCTCGTTTGTCTGGACTTCTGGTCTGCAGAAGACTCCAATGGGAAGAGTGTGGACGTGTTAGTGGTGACAGACCACTTCACTAAGATGGCTCATGCCTTCAAGTGTTCAGACCAGTCTGCTAAACAAGTTGCACGTCAGTTGTGGGATAAGTACTTTTGTGTATATGGCTTTCCGCAGAGAATACATTCAGACCAAGGGGCGAATTTCGAAAGCCAGCTTATCCATGAGCTTCTTCAGATAGCAGGGGTGAAGAAATCTAGAACAACACCCTACCACCCTATGGGGAACGGTCATACTGAGAGGTTTAATCGGACTCTAGGAAACATGATTAGAGCATTGCCTCCCAGAGAAAAGCAAAAGTGGCCTCAGATGCTGCAAACACTGACATTCGCTTACAACTGTACTGCTCATGAGTCGACCGGCTATGCCCCATTTTTCCTTATGTATGGTCGGGTGCCTAGATTACCAGTAGATGTCATGTTCCACAGTGTGGAAAGAGATAATGACATTACAGACTATGACAGTTATGTTAAAAGGATGAGAGATGACCTCAAGGAAGCCCTTCAGGTTGCTCAAATTCATGCTAGTGCAAAACAACAGCGGCAGGCTGAGCTCTACAATAAAGGTGTGAAAGGTGCTGACATCGAAGAGGGTGATCAGGTCCTCCTAGCCAACAGGGGTGAACGTGGGCGGAGGAAACTTGCTGATAGGTGGGAGTCAACCCTGTACACGGTGATCTCGAAAGATTCAAGATGTCACACTTATCGCATTAAAAATCCTGACAATGGACATGAAAAAGTTGTTCACAGAAATTTGCTTTTACAAGCCAGTTTCCTGCCAGTAAACGTGGATCATGAGACAGAGCCTTCTTTCTCCAGTGTTGGTCAGGAGTCTCAGGAGGCTGACAGAAACCTGTTTTTGGAGGAGTTAGAAAGTCACAAATCCGAGCGCACTGCTAGCTGGGTTGCAGGGGCCACCCCTTCGAAGAACTTCTCAGAAGGAGGGCACACAGCCCTTGATGCACCTTCAGTTCCCCTTGCCGATTCTGAGCCCCCTGTTTCTGAGCTGCACACAAGTGACTACAATGGAAAAACTCTGAGTGTTAGAAGTGGATCGGAAGGTTGTCTTGGGGAAGCAGCAGAGGCTTCATTCGATGTTCCTCTGGCAGTGACCACCCCTATGGACCAAATTAGGACCAGAGTGGGCAGGGTAGTGAAACCAGTGAATAGGTTAATTCAGAATATGACACAGAAAACCAAACAAGGAGGTTTTGTGGTTGGTGGGTTAGCCAAGACTCTGTTTCAGTAACACCTTATTGTTCACTTAGGATATTACCCTTCACTATGGACATGGAAGTTTATTTTATTACTGTCATTATGTGTGTCAAGATAAGAGTTCTTTGATAATTGGGTAGAGAGTGTGTAGAAGGCACATTCTTATGCAAGTGGACGTTAAAAGTCTGGCCAACTCCTTAATGTCGCTTTCTATTGCAATATAGAAACCCTTGGGTTGCATAGTGATTATCCGAGAAATATAGCTGAGTTTAGCTGGTATTATCTTGTATGCTGCTTCTGATCTGACCGGAGTTGTTTTGAGAAGTTCAGGGGGGAGTATGTAACTGAGTTAATTAGATTATTTTATTTGATGAACCTTCTCAAAACACCTTTTTTTTTTATTAATTTACATGTTTGTTGTTATTTCTGTTTTATACTGCTTTTATTTAAAATTATTTATGTTTCAAACTCATTTTTCTTTGTTTTTCTTGGGTTCTGTATGATATTTTATTTTGGAGGAGAAGCTTTTATTTTTTTCGCTTCCGGTGTCCGTGTCATATCCTCTGTATCCCCGCTGCCCTCCTCAGTTCGCGCCAAGCTGCGCTGAGGAGAGGTGCATGTGGGAAACTGGAGCCCAGAGTTGCTGTGCTGAATATGTTCTTGTTGTAAACAGAAATAAACCGAAGCAAGTCTGATCTCTTCGACTCTTCATTCCACGACTGTTACACTACTACAAAAAGTACTGTTGGCTTTAATACTCGGTTTACTCGCTTACTTCTGCACTAGGTAAGACTTTCTTTAAACGAATACTCCTAGCAACTACGTTGTACTATATACAGTAATCTAACAACTTATGTTGAAAACTGTCTAATCACTTGTGCCTAATGAGCTTCATGTGTGTGTGTGCGCGCACGCACATCATAGTGAGAGCATGTTCGTATGAAAAAAAATTGTTTTGCCCCCCCGATGCAAAAGTGAAACTCCGCCTATGCCGCTAAGGCGTGTAGCAAAATAAAGCATACATTAAACCTACCCACACTGCATTAGTGAATTGACAGAAAAACCAAGTAGGTGTCCAAACCAAACCTTTGAGGTTTTTATGAGGGGACGGTAACTGAAAGCTGTTGTTGCTGCAAACTAAACCCAGATCCACAGCCCTCCTCTACCACGCTTGACAAGGAAACATTTGTAAACTGGGTTGTATCAAGGCCATCTTTAATGCAGTCGTTTCAGAAGGTTTTTGCAGCTTTAAGAGCTTTCACTACACATAGCTCTTCATTTTTCCTCCCATGTTTTAACCTTCAACCTGCGAACTAAGCGACCATATTGGGATGAAAAACACTTCAGACTTTTTCAGCAACTACAAATACACTGCCTGGCCAAAAAAAAGTCTCCTATTGGATAATTACTGCATGGGCGATTATCTTTCAGCTGGCAACAAGTTATTTAACCCCAACTGGTGCAATGACTGCTTCTCATTTCCTAAACAACCATGTGGAAAGACACATCCGGTGGTCGTGGAAAAGATGTTAGTCTGTTTGAGAAGGGTCAAATCATTGGCATCACGCAGAGAAAACATCTAAAGAGATGCAGAAACTACTAACATTGGGTTAAGAACCGTCCAATCATCTTCAAGTAAGAAATGCGGCCGGAAAAAAATCCTGAATGATGGTGATCTGGTGAGATCAAATGGTAGAAAAACAACAGTAGAACTCAGGGCTATGTTTAACACTGAAAGTAACAGCATTTCCACACGCACAATGCGAAGGGAACTCAAGGGATTGGGAGTGAGCAGCTGTGTAGCTGTAAGAAAACCACTAATCAGTGAGGCTAACCGGAAAAAAGGCTTCAATTTGCTAGAGAGCTTAAAGATTGGACTGTGGAGCAATGGAAGAAGGTCATGTGGTCTGATGAGTCCAGATTGACCCTGTTCCAGAGTGATGGGCCAATCAGGGTAAGAAGACTGGCTCAGGAAGCATGACTCATCATTTTCACACATGGATTGGCCACCACAGAGTCCAGACCTCAACCCCATTGAGAATCTTTGGGATGTGCTAGAGAGGGCTTAGCGCAGCGGTCAGACTCTACCATCATCAATGCAAGATCTTGGTGAAAAATTAATGCAACACTGGATGGAAATAAATCTTTTGACATTGCAGAGGCTTATTGAAACAATGCCACAGCGAATGCGTGCCGCAATCAAAGCTAAAGGCAGTCCAACAAAGTATTAGAGTGAAGGACCTTTTTTTTTGGCCAGGCAGTGTATCATCTATGAAGAAAGACGAACTTCAGCACTTTTAAACAGCCTTAGAAAATCCACTGTATTATTGCATCTACAATAATAAATCTACTACAGATTCACAGAATGCTATAAAATTCTAGATCATTTCATTTTTTTTACCTAATCCCTTCCAGTCCTTATACGAGGTATTATGTTGCTCTCATCTGTAGATACTGGTGTCGTTATGCTGGTAAACCGGACCTATGCACAGCCTACGGGGTGAAGTCCAGCCAGTACTGGAAGCAGCTGGTGGGAAAACTGAAGAAGCGGGAAAACGCCTGCGAGGGAGAAAAAGTCTTAAAGGCCAAAACCTGCAAAAAGGCCCCAGCAGAGGCCCACATGAAGCTGGCTCATCGCAGCGGGGACGAGGAGAAGAATGGACGGAAGGAGGGAGGAAAGAAGAAAGGAGAAGCTGGAGCCAGGAGCTCAGATGGAGGGAAGGTGGAGAAGAGAAGGAAGAAGGTGAAGGAGGAAGAGGAGGAGAAGAAGAAGCGAGAGGAGAGGACTGATGATGATGAAGGAATGGTAAACGACATGGAGCCGGTGCAAACGTACTGCAGCGAGGGATGGCACTCGGTTTGCTCCTTCTTTGTCAAGTTTTTTGAGGGCTGATAAAAAGTAGAGAAAGATATTTTGGGATCGATAATAGTGTAAATAAAAACCTGATGGATTAAAAAGTTGTTTAAAATGTCTCATAGCGCTTCCGAAGGTTAGAAGAAGACTGATTTTTTATTCATATTTACTCAAACATGTTTGGTAATTATGGCGAAATGTATTAGACTTTGTTTTCATGTTTTAACCTTCTTTGCATTCTTCTCCTAAAATACTTTTACAACAAGAAACTGAAGAAAACAATAGCCGTGTAAGTTTATTACATATACATGCTTTAGATTTACTAAATAAAATCAGCAGCAATAAAACTAAAAGTATGAAAAATGTTAAATAAAATTGATTACATTTGATTGAAAGCTACAATTCTTACAGATGATTTCTGTTTAATGATCCTAACTGTGATATAATTACACTGATTAATTACATGATCACTATTAGAACCTATGCTTTTATTGTGAACTTTTAAGATTAAATAACCATCTTTGTTAACTGTGATGGTGCTTGTGGTCACTACGTCGATTCTTCTGTGTTTTTATTATTCTCTAACATCAGACTGAATCATCCTTTCAGATTCTATAGAAAACTGTATTTAATTTAATCAGATCTCCATAGATCTTCAGTCCTGGATGTTCCTCTGCTCCTTCACACCTCATTCTTCATGCTGGACATCAACTTCTTCAGAGATCACTGGAGAAGCTCCTCATCCAATCACAGCCGCTCGGCGCTCGCCATCTTTTAGATGGTTCACAGTTTCAGCACAGCGGGAGAAAATAATCAGATCAACGATTATTCAAAGTTTCAGGACAACAGGCTGAAGTTTAGAACCAATTCAGGATCGCTGCCATAAATTGAATAAAAGTAGGTATTTAATTTTCTTGGAATGAGTCTATTTTCTCTTAATTTGATCAAATCAGATAATTTGCCAATTTAATAAAATTATTTACGTGGAAAATAAGAAAAAAGAAAAACAACTCTGATATCTTAATTTCGTTTTTAAGTGCATTACATCTAATTATCCTATTTTAAAGGAGAAGTCTGATCAGCAAGGAATAATCAGTGGATCATTATTTTATACCTAAAACTAATACATTGGCAGTGATTTAATGAATTTAATGTTAATAAGTTCATTGTATTTCTATAGCTCCAATTCCCATCATGTCATCTCAGGTCACTTTCCAGTTCACCAGATCATCCAGTCAGATTGATTCAAAGTTTTCTATCTAAGGAAAACCAGCTGATTGCATCGACTCATTGACTCTTCAGCAATCCCTCACACTAAGCATGCTTGTAGCGACAGTGGAGAGGAAAAACTCCCTTTGAACAGGAAGAAACCTCCAGCAGAACCAGGCTCAGTGTGAGCGGCCATCTGCTGAGGCCCACTGGGGTTCAAGGAGACAGAAGCAGACATAGAAAAAGAAGCATAGATACAAAAGGCAGCTGTAAAAGGTGGTGTGAAGAAGAATAAGTGAAATAATACAAACAATAATTTCCAGCAGTGACGTCACGGTGCGGTAAGCCTAGCGCCATTCTCCCCGCTTTCCAAGCTAAATCAATGGGAACTACTAGACACATCTGCAATCAACAACAATTATTGAAGATTTCCAGAGGACTTCACCATTGAAATTCACCAGAGCTATAGTGAAACTGACAATGCCCACGTGCATGGCAGCTGGATGCTGGAATACATCGGGTAAAAGTGAAAAAAAGAGTTATTCCACCTTTCTGATTCCTGATCCTCCACGGACGGGTTGGTCGTTGGATCGCCAACTTGAAGACGGAGGATTTGCCATCGAACTTCTGGCCAGAGAAAAAACCAAACTGATGGCCAGATGGAGCAGGGACCCCCTAATTATATATATTGTGTGAAATTGTGTTATATCAAACTGGTCCTATAGTCACTTTATTATTTATGGAGTAATGTAACTAAAGTAATCCCTCCCTGGGATTATTAAAGTATTCCTGATTCCTGGTTGATGGGACAGGTGTTGTGAATGAAACTGTGCCCAGCTTGAAAGAGCTCCTGTGTGTCTCTGAATGTGGGCATTGATGACTGAAAGACATCTTCTGCCTCCATTTATCTGTTTACTGCAGTCTGTTGGATTCATGTTCATGTGGATTTAAAGATATTTAAATTAGTGGAAAAAATTGCAGGGGGGGAATATAAAACAAAAGTCTAATCAACTAAAACTTTTGAGACCCCCATGCAGTACCTCTGTGGACCCCTAGGGGTCGCGCAGCCCCTGTTGAAGACCTTTTGTATCTATGCTTCTTTTTCTATGTCTGCTTCTGTCTCCTTGAACCCCAGTGGGCCTCAGCAGATGGCCGCTCACACTGAGCCTGGTTCTGCTGGAGGTTTCTTCCTGTTCAAAGGGAGTTTTTCCTCTCCACTGTCGCTACAAGCATGCTTAGTGTGAGGGATTGCTGAAGAGTCAATGAGTCGATGCAATCAGCTGGTTTTCCTTAGATAGAAAACTTTGAATCAATCTGACTGGATGATCTGGTGAACTGGAAAGTGACCTGAGATGACATGATGTGAATTGGAGCTATAGAAATAAACTGAATAGAATTGATTAGCTTTTGAAGGAAATCAGCTGTTCTGGAACTGGAAACTTCTAAAACCTGCAGGACAGCGTCCCTCCAGGACAGACATAGGACATGCCTGCATTAGGTTCCCTCCTTCTTTCATTTGTCCCACATTGAGCCTCTAAAGCTGCTAACAGACAGAGGCTAGCTGGTGTAACTGAGTCAGACTGAATGCTTGGATTGTTTTCAGAGTTGTGCAATGCCATTTAACTAGCATCATCATTAGCTCTAACGGTGTGAGGGCTCTCCATGGCTCCACATCCAGCTCTTTAGCTTATATCGTCTGCATACCAATCGAAGCGTTCACTGAGACCCTGCAGCTTCAGCTACAGTGACTTTACTAAAAAACAAAACTTTCTGCAGAACTTCAGCCTTTACACACCAGGATTCGTCCCTGAGTTAATGAGCTCATCAGTGTGTTTGTGTTAGAAATTAAACGCTTAAAAGGTCATCGTTGAACAAAGAGAAAAACAGGCAATCAGGTGAGTGCCATTAACTGTGTTTATAACAGGCTTTTCACGTCTAATCCCCACATTATAATCAAAACTCCCACTTCAAATCTCCACAGTGGCCTGATTGTCCTTGAACACCACACAGAAACACCCACTCACAGTCCCAGCAGGAGGCAGCGTGGGTCAGCTCCTCCATAGATCACAGCACCATGTTAGCCGCTCGCTTTCTGCCTGCGGGACCTGAGCGCAGCCAGGGTCTGGCAGCCATCTTTACATGAGCTTTTATTCTTTAGCTTTCCTCCAACAGCTTCAGTTCATCTTCTTCCTTCTGTTGGTTAAAACCTTCATGGACTCCAAAAGGAAACACAACCAGAGTCTGTTAAGAACAGACTCCTGTCCAAACATCCACAGCCTGCTCTTTGAAGAAAGTCCAAAAGTTAGGGAAGTCGTTTAGATTCAAAGATCTGAAAGATTAAAACAATAACAAATATAGTAAAACTGTATATAACAGCTCACAGCTTTTATATAAGATGTCTGATTGTTTTGTTAAGTTATAAAAATGTATATAAAGATACCATACTTACATTTTTTTGGATAGAGAATGCTCCAGAAAAGCAGTCATCTAAGAGCAACCATCATTAATCGTCATTGGTGCGCCTTCATTTAGAAAATGTATGTTTTACCAACCTGGCAGTTTTCATTTTATGCAAATTCAGTGGTGGAATCCTGCAGACTGTCAGATCTTTCAGTAGTGGAGTTTAATTTGTAACCAAGCTAGCCAGTAATAAAGGTCAAAACAGGATGGGTGTTAATATCAGAGAAAAGAGGAACAAAAATGCAACTAAAATCAACTAAATTAAATGATACGAATCGGTTAATGAATGTAGCATCACATATTGCATCTAATAAATAACCCTTATCTCTAAGATTCTCTGATGTTTTGATTCATCATCTTTAAGCATGAAAAATCTGTCCACACATTTTTCCAACAGGTAATATTTTCTCTGACCTGGAGATCCTGACTCCTGACAGCTGGAGAGTTACTGACTGTTAATGCTTTAGGACATAAAGAGAACCACAGCATGATGGATGGATGGATGGATGGATGGATGGATGGATGGATGGATGGATGGATGGATGGATGGATGGATGGATGGATGGATGAAAATGTGCTGCATGTCAGAGATTAAGTAATTTGGTGGATGTAAGTTTTCCTTTTTTACTCTAAAATATTTCACACATTTTTCTAGTTACAACAGAAATACAGAAAGTTCTGATTCGTCTCTTTCTAAATGTCAAAGCGCACATTTAGTGCGATTTAAAGCTTCTCCAGTTGAGGGCAACAGAGAGCTGCTGAGTGTAGAACCAGTTACCCCTCAGAGGAAACACATATTTACAGATTTACTCAGATAGAATCATCCTTACTCGCAACATTTTAGTAGATAAATAATCTTAACCAAGCCATTCAGCCTGTGACAGACTGTTGGAGAGGAGCTTTAACATTCATCTTCTGGTCAGGAAGTTTCCTGGGTGGAGACGCCTCAACAGACTCAGAACCAACAGATTCTAAATGATATTAATTATAGTTACTGTCTAAATACTCTGCATACTGATCTGAGAACAGATCAGCTCCAAAGTGATCCTGCAGGCTGTATTAAATATAATACTGTCCCTCAGCTGCTAATATACATCTCACCAGCAGAGGTCCCTGTTGGATCACAGCAAAATCAGAGAAAAGCTTGGTGATGGAGCCGATCTGGGTTTGGATAAAAAGAAAAACAAAACTTTAGCAGTAGTTTCTAGAATTTCCTTCTTTCATCTGAGGAACATTGCAAAAATTAGAAATATCCTGTCCAGGGGTGATGCTGAGAAACTAGTCCATGCATTTGTTACTTCAAGGCTGGACTATTGTAATTCTTTACTATCAGGAAGTCCACAAACTGTAGTTAAAAGCCTTCAGCTGATCCAAAATGCTGCAGCCAGAGTTCTAATGAAAATGAAAAAGAGAGATCATATCTCTCCTATCCTGGCTTCTCTTCATTGGCTTCCTGTTAAATCCAGAATAGAATTTAAAATCCTCCTTCTCACATATAAAGCCTTAAATGGCCAAGCTCCATCTGATATCAGAGATCTGATTGTTCCTTATGTTCCTAACAGAGCACTTCGCTCTCAATCTGCAGGTT